AGGCACAATGTCACACATTTTCGACAATACTTGGCCTATATTATATATATTGGGGCATATGCACTCACTTTCGCTTCCTATTGATGCAGTAAAATACTTATTATCCCTTACGACTTGCCTGAAATCGATAATTGAAACTTCGAGGCGAACAGCTTCCAAACAGAGAACACTTGCCATTTATGGGATGTAAACAATTGCTCCGTTCATTGAAAACTGTCGGTGTTGTCGGTGTTTGCCGAACTAGTTTCAATCACAAGTTGTGCGAAAGATATTCGTAAAGAGAGCTCCAAGGGGACATAACTCTGTAGTGTTCGCTTTGAGTTATGTTCGGCCGGTAGAGGGCGCGAGAGTCGATTTAAGGCAACGCATTAATTCATTCGAACTTTTTAATTTAATATTGTAATCTCAATACGTAATTGTTTTTGGAATAAATGGTATGGTAGCTTCCCTGAATACTGATAGTATTATTGAGAGAAATGCATTATTCATTTTCAGAGAAGTGTGACCTGTGATATAGTGCCTTTAAAGTCAATTGGGGGATTACATTTTCCCTTGCATCTTATTGTATGTCTATGTGTTCTTAATTTGCTGCTATTCAAAGGTTTGTTATTCAAAGCCTATAATATTCTGTCCTTTGTCGACAGATATATTAAAATGAATACCGTTTCACAACTATACAGCTATAACGTTGCTGCGATGGAGAATTGCACCTCGATCTACCAATTCCCCTTTGAACCTGAAATTCGAAAAAAGAAATGTTCATTTAAACACGAATTTGGATGATGTTCAACACTTATACATATAGAGAGGCCTTTCAATAACGGTGACACATATGGACATTTTACCACTGAGGTGCCTAGGCGTCCCTATAATAAAAATAGCTGGGAGACCACATGCACCATTATAAGAACTCGCTCTTTCATATTACAAGACAGATTTCATGTGTAAAGATCATTACTAAAACAGATAAAAGAAACACACGTTCAATAATGATGTATTATTAAACGACACTCGGGGCTTCAAGCATTTAATATTCACATACTGTTTTTGCTTGAATGTTGTAGAACTTTCTGTATCCCATGATCGGGCATAACTGTATAAAACATTTAATGAAAGCTACTGAGGCCATTTAACACCTTCAATGAAGCTCAACAAACTCTCAAGTGTGCCACCTATGGGATTCACCTAATTAAGCCCTTTGCTCGGCGTGCCCGTCAATGCGGAGCCCACAGACTAATGACATACGATATGCTAAATCATTCGATTACAAAATTGCGTACCCTGAAGCATCATGGAAGTGGAATAAGCAACGCTCTTTCCACCAACTTCCCATGCAAATCTGATTTACCAGAGAGCCCATGACGATTTCAAATCACGTTCAAGAACACCAATAGCAGTAACTGCAAATAAAACGGATGTGTAGCCTTAGTTGGATTCCCGTAGGCTGGGATTCCCCTCGGGAGACCATTTGACTCGTTGAGACAATAAAACAAGTGAATAGTGAGGATTTAAACTTCGGCTGCTTTTTACACAACCTTCCTCTAATTGCCAGGGTTAAATGGCTTTGTTGTTTGACATTTGTTTTTGGAGCTGTTGCCATTCAGTGAAATGAGTGTCCGTTAGCTGTTCTTTGCAATCCTTCAATCTCGTTCCTGGAGTGAAGTATTGCCAATAATTAACCCAGTACCGGAGCCTGATGGAGCAATTTGCCATCTTGCAGAACAGTGAGGGACACAGGAGATTCAGGACAAGGTCCAAGTCGTTGACAAATGAAGACATGGAGTTATTGCCCTTCTTTTAATACTCATTGCAACTCGTCCACGTTTAATCAGTCTGTCTTTACAAAAAGTCAGGGAAATCTGTCAGTTGCCACTTGTGTTCCCTGTGGGTGTATGCTGAAGTAATTGAGGCTTGAAACATATCCAGTGCTTGACACAGACTCATTTACTTTGATTGCGATTAGTTTTACCAAATATATCAGTGCCAACCTAGCAGTGTTGATGAATAGGTAAGGTGTGACACGCATCGGGTGTTCTAACATTGTTCTCCAAAGTGAAGTAATCAAGTCACGCAAATGTGATGGTATTGATAGTGGTAGAATTAACTATTGTCTCGAATCAGATTACTAATTTGGACATCGACAATATTTTGATACGTATGTTGAAAAGAACATACACTGATTTTTTTCATAATGTTTTTATTGTTTCCAAGGGTACATCATTAAAATTAAAACACCAAATCAGGATTTTAGAGTTTGTTAGGTAGAGTTAAAAATACACAAACATTCACATTTTCACATCAAAATAACGTACCGAATATAGAGTCTATTTTCATTGTTAAGTTGGGAATATAGATCTCCATTTTGTGTCATGACTTTGGAGGCTATTATTTTTAATATCAATGAACTTTTCCACATTGAATTTTTTTTGAAACGTTTTGGAATGTGTTGGTTAATCCCACATAAATGGATATATTTTTTGGCAGTTAGGATAATATGGTTTAATAATCTATCTGTGTGTAATGTTCCAAACCAAACAAGATATTTTGTTATTTTAGTTGTGTTCTCAATATGATTATTCATCCAAGCTTCAAGTTCATTCCAGAATGTTTGTCTTTCTCTACATTCCCAATAAACATGACTAATATTCTCATTCAGTTCATTACAAAAACAGCAAACAGTATTGTCAACAAGTTTCATTTTAAATAGTTCATTTTACATACACTGACGTATTCCGCCAAGGAAGACAAACCAGATTGTTACTACAGAACATATTCGTATGATATTGTGCTTAAGGTGAACAAAACCCTCCTCCCGAAAAGCCCAAACAAATACAAAAGAATCAACACAGATAAGAAGAATTGTTTTTTATTATTTTTTTATTATGAGGGCAGTATAATAAAATTTAAACATTCAGGTCACGTCAAGGACTCTTTGAGATCAAAGTGCATATATACAGAAGAAGAAAGAATAAAAGAGAACATTTGTTTATTATAGTGTGTCACACGCTGGTACAGAGTCCGACCTCTTTAGGCCTATAAGACACAATAAAACAAGGATAAAAAGCATGATAATATTAAAATGGCACGCATCTAGTCAACACACATACTGTAACAACCATGATACAGTGGCACAAACAACCCCCATGCACACACAGTTTCGGATCTGTACATAATACCACACTGCATAACACCCGTCATACGAACAATGTCTTACATTCCTACACACTCAATGTCATCCACACACATCCAATTGCCACCACACCAACCTCCCTCCCTCCATTCCTTCAACAGTCAGACTGCTTCAACAACTAAAATACATAAATACATGTAATGGTATTACAGTCCACACACACACACGCGCGCACACACACACACACACACGCACGCACGCACGCGCACACACGCACGCACACGCACACACACACACATGCACATCTATATGTGTTCTTTTAAGAATAACAGGATATGATATTTGTATTCACAAAATTAAAAATAACCAGTTTGTCTTCTCCTGTAGGTGATTTGATGAATATTATAATTGTATTATATTTACTTTAAATTTGCTATATGTCAACATCAGTGATTCGGTTTGATACCCTTTCCATTTGGTTTTGTCAAACCCAATTTTCAAGTTTATGCTGTCTTTTGTCCTTCAAGGACGATGTCGCATTAAGGGATTATGGTTTATTCAAGATATGGGATCTGGTCAATCATTCACTCAATTTATCAATCAATCAATTTGAAAATGAAATTGTTGAAGAGAGTTTTGTATAATTTCAACATACCTGATGTCTTCACTTGTCATTAAAATTCAACAGTATTGGCGTTCTGTGGTGTCCCGTAGAGATATACTCCGGTGGTGGCATGTGGTCCTGTGCGTAGAGCTCAGGTCACAACTCAGTTGAAGTTAAGCAACGTACGGCGCGGAGAGTCCTTGGATGGGTGACCGTGTTCGGCAGCATGACTCCTGAGAGTTTCTATGATTTCAGTCCTGCCCCACAACTAAGCACATGTGATACATGTGGTCTCACAATAGGCAAGCTGTTACCCAGCAGAAAATGGGTACCCGGTGGAATAAGTGATGTGACTATAACCTTCTAGCAACTCACAGGCAGCTTGGGTTATCCGGGGTAATAATGAACTGTCTGTTTGTATGCGCATTGAACATGCCCTTGGTGTATGGAATTTAGCGCAATAGAAGTACACATTATTATGACTCGTTTACAAGTATCTGCTCTGTGAAGATCTAACCTGGAGCTTCAGAACACACATCAGAGGGGTAGGAGTTAGCTTATCCTCTTTAGAAAATAAATTTCATAAAAAAATGATCGAAACTCTTTGCTCTTTCCTTGGTGAAATCTGACATAAAAGCAATTTCTAGATGAAAATAATTATAGTTGTTTGGTAAAAAAATCCGAAAAAAACGAGTGGACGTATTTAGCGCTTTGACTCAGTTATGACATATTCATTCCTCTCACAAACAAAATGCACTGGAAAAGACTCTGCGCATACAGAGGGAGGTATGCCAAGCAGGTTACCAATACTACTGCCTCTACTACATCATTACGATGTCTGCTGCTACTTCTTCTGCTATGATGCTGTAGGGTAGCCTAGTGATATTGCTGGAATATTGCAAAAAGCGGCGTAAAACCAAAGTCACTCACTCACTCTACTCTTATACCGTAACTGCGAGCATTTGTTTTGTGTAAAACGAACACTTCTTCCACTACTGAGCTCAGTTTCAGGCCATGTTATAAATTTTGGGACTTAAAATACATGACCTCAAGCATTTAACTCCATGTGGCAGGTATGGAAGAGTAACATTTGGCCAGTTAATAATAAATTTAGAGCCTTAAACAACATGGGAATAATACAAATTGGAACTGAAAGGAAACGAAAAATAATTCGAAAATTGACACCTCACTCACCAGTGTAAAATTGTGTGCACATGCCTCTTTGTACATTTACACGTTTTACCTCGTCTCTCTTGTTTGTTTCAGCACCGAGGAGGATGGAGAATCGCATGAGGTATCAAAGAGGTCACTAGACAGTGTCGGCAGCGGCTTCATCAAGAGAAAATGGAACCCAGACATTGGGAAACGCCCAATAGATCAAATAGGTGCGGGCCTCATCAAGAGGACCATGGAACAAGATGAGGAGGAGAAACGAGATCTGGACTATCTTGGCCTTGGCCTCCTCAAGCGTCAGGAGGACTACGAAGAGGAGAAGAGAAACCTGGATCGTGTCGGAATGGGGCTGATCAAGCGACCAATTGATACATTAGGAAGTGGGTTCATCGAGAAAAGACCCCTTGATTATCTTGGGTCTGGTCTGATCAGGAAACGATTCTATGACCCTTTCGAAGACAGCCTGAAAAAAAGGCCCATTGATCGTATTGGGAGTGGCCTTATTAAGAAGCGGGCCATTGATGAACTAGGCATGGGTCTCTTAAAGCGGCCAGTTGATTCCCTTGGTTCTGGGTTCATTAAAAAGAGGCCCATTGATTTAATTGGTTCTGGATTTATTAAGAAACGCACACTTGATTCCATTGGATCCGGATTCATCAAGAAACGCCCAATTGATTCCCTTGGTTCAGGATTTATCAAGAAACGCCCAATCGATGCCCTTGGTTCAGGATTCATCAGGAAACGCCCAATTGATTCCCTTGGTTCAGGATTCATTAAGAAACGCCCAATTGATTCCCTTGGTTCAGGATTCATCAAGAAACGCCCAATTGATTCCCTTGGTTCAGGCTTCATCAGGAAACGCCCAATTGATTCCCTTGGTTCAGGATTCATCAAGAAACGCCCAATTGATTCCCTTGGTTCAGGTTTCATCAAGAAACGCCCAATTGATTCCCTTGGTTCAGGATTTATCAAGAAACGGCCAATTGATTCCATTGGCTCCGGATTCATCAAGAAACGCCCAATTGATTCCCTTGGTTCAGGATTTATCAAGAAACGCCCAATTGATTCCCTTGGTTCAGGATTCATCAAGGAAACGCCCAATTGATTCCCTTGGTTCAGGATTCATCAAGAAACGCCCAATTGATTCCCTTGGCTCTGGATTCATCAAGAAACGGCCAATTGATTCCCTTGGTTCCGGATTCATCAGGAAACGCCCAATTGATTCCCTTGGCTTCAGGATTCATCAAGAAACGCCCAATTGATTCCATCGGTTCAGGATTCATCAGGAAACGCCCAATTGATTCCCTTGGTTCAGGCTTCATCAGGAAACGCCCAATTGATTCCATTGGCTCAGGATTTATCAAGAAACGCCCAATTGATTCCATTGGTTCAGGCTTCATCAGGAAACGCCCAATTGATTCCATTGGCTCAGGATTTATCAAGAAACGCCCAATTGATTCCATTGGTTCTGGCTTCATCAGGAAACGCTCCATTGATTCTAACGATACCGAACTGATCAGTAGAGATGCGTCAAAGTAAACGCTCACGGAGACAATATTTGAAAAAACCCACACCGTTGTGTCAAAAAAAATAACATGCTTGAAATGGTGGGGAGAAAGACATATAATACCATATTTTGAATTGTCATACGGATCTTAAATTTCCTAAAACGATATTATACTTAAACCTTTCTGTATTGTGTCAACATCTTCAGAGAATTAATTTTACCAGTAGTAGCGGACACATGTTTTAAACAATTCGCTCACTATGACAATTTGCTGCTGATTGAATCAGAATATCACAATCATTTCATTATTATGTCCGGATCAAAAAGAAGCTGAACAGTGTCTTTTGAGAAAGGAATGCAATGTTTAACTTTCGTACACTTCTTTATTCATTTTTAACCACGAAGAGAGAACCTCGTCAACGACAACTGTGCTAGGAAGTACAGTGGGCCTGGATGGTGCGTATTGAAGACATCTAAGGCAAGCATGACGTATCGGACAATTATCCTGACATGATAGTTCGCGACGTCATCTATATCTGTGATAGTGTCATTCTCAGCATTGCTGTGGGAAAGGATTTGCAAAACAGATATTTTATATGACATTCCAAACATACAATCCTTCGTACGAGAAAATAAGAAATTGTCAAAATGCATACCTAAATATTCATTAAGTATAATTCTGTTTTCTAGAGAAAAGGGCATTTCAAAACGTGTGCTCTTTCATTTTTTTTTTGCCTTCCCAATCGTATTTTTTTCATACAGACAGCTGAAGTTCTAGAATGAGTGAGAGAGTGTGATTCGTAATGGATCTCTATAATGCTAATTGTTTTAGCGACGGTACACGTACATGTTTTGTGGCATATGATAAATCCTGCAATCTACCTATCCTTAATCAGACTTTAGATAATACTGTATAAATGTACATATGAATAGGTGATAGACAGAAACTTCATCGAAATCTGACTCGAAATCTCTACATCTTGAGGCGAGAACCATCAGTGTATATTTGAATATAATTTATTGTACAAATGAGTAATCTTGTTGGAAGCAACTGTTAATCTTATTTTTGAATAAATAAATGGACTCTACGCAGGTAGTTTGTTTTAACGTTATCATTTGATGGCAGAGTACTTCACAGACCCGCTTCTACTTCCATGTGGATTCCGGGTTCGAACCCCAGCAGCCTACCATGATCTGGTGGTCTGTCGTCGTAGTTGGGGTGTCTCGTTCTCCCTCTCTTCATGAAACCCGTGACGGTCCGGGTTAGAATGTACCTTGATTGTCGTGAGAGGCGACTAACGGGATCGGGTGGTCAGGCTCGCTGGCTTGGTTGACACATGTTATCGGTTCCCAATTTCGCAGATCGATGCTCATGTTGTTGATCACTGGATTGTCTGGTCCAGACTCGATTATTTACAGACCGCCGCTATATTGCTGGAATATTGCTGAATACCAATATACCAATCACCGGATTGTCTGATCTAGTTAAGGATTATCATTGTTCTGTATGTTTGTTGTTTAACGCTGCACTCAGCAATATTCCATGTGTATGCAATATTCGAGTCTGAACCAGCCAATACAGTGATTGACATCATGAGCTTTAATCTCAGTTGGGGAACGATGACATGTGTCAACCAAGACAGCGACGGCGGTCTGTCAATTATCGCAAAGTCAGCGAGTCTGACCACCCGATCCCGTTAGTCACCTCTTGCGACAAGCATGGATTGCTGAAGATCAATTCTAACCCGGATCTTAACGGATGGTGTATGTTTTCGGATCCGTGAAATATTAAGTCAGTTGGTCTTTACACACTATACACAGTTAGGGAAATGAACCCGGGTTTCCGGCATAAGAAGTAAACGCTTTAACCATTAGGCTACCTTACCGGCCCTGTAAGCCCTAGAACAAGCACATATAACCAGCCACAAACGGAGCCTAACTTCGCCTGATGTACATGTGTGAACTGTCTTCGTTAACAGCTTCGTTAACAGATGTAATATCGAGTATGAGAATTACACATAAATATTTGATATGAGACTAAAGGACAGGGGTAGTTAAGGCTATCATGGGTCATAGTGTCGATTGTAGAAATCTCAAGGAAAATATACTCATGGAAACAAATAAGGGAACACATGGAAGTACAAATGTTCCTTTATTCTTTTCCAGGTTTCTTCACAAGGTATGTATTGCACTGTCGGGGAAATTTTTAAAATTAATAAAGGAACACTTGTACTTTCATGTTCCTTATTTGCTTCCATGAGGAGTATATTTTGATGTTGCAACATAAAATCAGCGATCCAAGTTAATTGATGAGATTCCAGGATGCAGTTTCGGATATTACAAATTGAAGTCAGTGATACAAGTTCTTAAACTATAGTTAAATATTCTTCGAGGATTACGAACTTGACTATCATTTCTTTTCTCTACCCCATTTCTAGTGTCCCCCGCCGTGATATTGCTGTAATATTGCTAAAAGCGGCGTAAAACCATACTCACTCACTCACTCACTCTTTTTTTCCAAAATATTTTAGGCGTACACTTGATCTGGATCGTGTCAGAATTCTGAGAACAAGAGGCTCGACGTCAGTTATTCTAACGTTTCCGTTAATTCTCATACCAATGTTATAAGGCTTACAATAATATTGTGAATTGACATCTTCGGTTATCCCTTTTCATGGATGCAGAATCTTGGAACCTCTGTATCACTTGGTAAAATCAGCAAAAAAGACAAATCAGATATGAAAAAAGCGATTCGAACACACTATCTACACGCAATGCATGCACCGCAAATATTCCCAATGCCTTATACACTTCAGCCACCTGTGCGGCTTTCTGTGTAAGCAACTCGGTCCTGAGCAATGTTCCAGCAAAATGTATATAACAGTGGCCTGAAGAGATCTGGGTTAGAATTTTTCTGCAACCCATTCTTGTGAGAGTCTCGTTGACTTAGTTGACGCGTTTCATCCTATCCCACTTGCTTAGATTTATGCTCTTGATGTTAATCACTGGATTATCTGGTCCACACTCGAAGATTTGTGTTTTTGTTTTTGTTTGTTGGGGCTCAGCAATATTCCAGCTGTATGGCGTTTGTAAATAATCGAGTACTCAACAGGGTATCCCACCGCCCCATGTTTGTTTGTTTGTTGTTTAACGCCGCACTCAGCAATATTCCAGCTATATGGAGCTGGTTAAATAATCGAGTCTGGACCAGACAATCCAGTGATTAACAGCATGAGCATCAATCTTCGCAATTGGGAACCGTTGACATGTGTCAACCAAGTCAGCGAGCCTGACCACCCGATCCCGTTCGTCGCCTCTTACAACAAGCATGGGTTACTGAAGACCAGTTCTAGCCCGGATCTTCACTCGATTATATTTATACAGATCACAGTCATATAGCTGGAATATTGCCGAGTGATACGTTAAACAACGAAAAGAATACACTGACAACGTTCCCCCCATCACGTCTGAATAGATAAACGGTCACTTCTAATGAAGTCACTGTTTCTAAGGAAAAATCATCCTTCAGCTTGGCTTTAGAAACAGTTGGGGCGGTGGGGTAGCCCAGTGGTTAAAGCGTTCGCTCGTCACGCCGAAGACCCGGGTTCGATTCCCCACATGGGCACAATGTATTAAGCCCATTTCTAGTGTCCCCCGCCGTGATATTGCTGGAATATTGCTAAAAGCGGCGTAAAACTAAACTCAGTCAGTCAGTTGAGAAACAGTGTACCAGGCGGTGGTCTAACAAATGAGCGCACCGTGACGATCCGGTGTAGAATTGGTCTTCAGTAACCCATGCTTGTCGTAAGAGGCGACTAACGGGATCGGGTGGTCAGACTCGCTGACTTGGTTGACACATGTCACCGTATCCCAATTGCGTAGATCGATGCTCATGCTGTTGATCCCTGGATTGTCTGGTCCAGATCTGATTGTTTACAGACGGCCGCCATATAGCTGGAATATTGCGGGCTGCAGCGTAAAGCTAAACTCACTCACTCAATGACTAGACACACTTGGCTTCTTTCTTTTCCTTAATAGTTAGGGGCGGTGGGGTAGCCTAGTGGTTAAAACGTTTGCTCGTCACGCCGAAGGCCCGGGTTCGATTCCCCACATGGGTACAACTTGTGAAGCCCATTTCTGGTGTCCCCCGCCGTGATATTGCTGGAATATTGCTAAAAACGGCGTAAAACCAGACTCAGCCAGCCAGCCTTAATAACGAGTCAGTTAGTAATGTTTTACGCCAGGAGACCAGAAATGGACTTCACGAAAAGTATCCATATGAGGAATCGAACAGGGGTCTTTCGCATGACGAGCGAACAATTTAACTGACCTGTCAGTCCGCCCGTTACAACGCGCAACGGTCGTTTGTATTCACTGGAGATGAAGGGATTATACTGCAGACGGGATCGTGAAGTAATGACGATGACAAATTGATATTTGGCATTTTTATTAACGCATTAAAAATATGGATTATGATGAAATAAGATATTTATCTGAAACAAAGTCATAATCAATATTTCACTCTAATGAAATTACTTTTTCAACTTTCTCTACCTCAGTGACACTATGAATTTCAGAGAAAGCTCATTTCGATGACAAGTATAAACAGCAATAAAAAGAATATTTGTCTTTTCCTATCAAATGGCTTGGTTGTCCCATCGCGTCGCCTGAACGCGATGCCATGCCCCTACAAAACTTCACATTCATTTGTGGGGGCGGACGGGTAGCCTAAGGTTAAAGCCTCCGCTCGACCCGGGTTCGATTCTCCACATGGGTACTATGTGTGAAGCTCATTTCTGGCGTCCCCGCCGTGATATTGATGAACTGAGTTGGCGATATATTTTCGAGATTGATTTTAACTGCAGAAATAGCAGTTTGTATTCTTATTCCATGTGGTGGAATAATTAAGGATTTGTTAGTGTAGGGTCTTTGCAAAGAGGATTAAAACACAGTCACACGCAGGGATGAATTCAGTAGAACGTAATATAATGTGAAGCTAATGTAATACGGCGAAGTTTTAAAGATGGCCTCTACACATAAACTATGAATCGTTGAGGTTCTGAAGGATCCAAGGCAAAGCCTTGGTGATGGATTAAATTTAATAATTTCAAATTTCTTTTACATACCCCGCCATAAATGATGAAGCCGTAGCCACTTTAGGAGCTACACCATCTCTTCAGGTGTTGAAGATTTTGAGAAATGTAGCCAAGCACTGAATGGTCACATATTCTACGATTAAAAACATGGTACGAATAAATATACTTTAAATTACGTGGTCTTATGTGCCCTCTCAGGGGTATAACCATTTTACACTACTTCAACCCCCTTTGATGGTACAGCCATTAACAATCTCTGTTACATATATATTCTACCAATCATAAAACGCACTTATTATACAAAGCATTCTGAAAAGAATTTATAGCAGAAAATACATTTATCATGAATGTAGCCAATTTCTCGAGAGATAAATGAAACTAGACAAACAGATCATACAAAACCGTAAGTTTATGAATAAAACATTTCACTGCGTGTTTAATTGCAAAGACATTGACGCTATCCAGAACTTAAACCAATTTAGTTTTACACAAAAATACAACTTCAAACTCATTAAAGATTGACACATATTAATGTAACATTTCAACATACACGATCTACCTTCATAAGCGTCAAAAACAGTATTAAGACTATATAAAACCGCTTGACGCAATTTCGGAAAATGCACCGGCGGAACAATACCATGTGATGTTTGCATGGCAGCATGGTAGCTGTGGCCATGTGTTCATCCGCACAGCGATCTATCATCTCTTTCCGCAATGTCACTGAATAGGCCCAGCGATGATGAAAGTTTTCAATCTTTGTCAGCGAAAGTAGTTCCGGCAGTAGACAAGGCTTTGCTCTTAAAAATATATACAACTACTGTATGATTATCAAAGGGGTGATTTATTCATGATAAGTCATAATGTAGTTTTTATATTTGCAACAAGCAAATACGGCCTAGCTTTTCATATTTCTGGGCTTGGCGCACCTTTTAAAGATTGAGTGTTCATGTTTGCAACGTCGTGATCACGGTCAGCTGTACTCTTGACCTTGAAGCGT